GGGAGGAGAGGGCACATAGCCATATTTGACATCTGTCTGTCAAATTCACAAGTCTGTCCTTGAATCAGCTCACAGTGTTCCCCATAGGAGCCTGTCAGCTGCCTCTGTTCCCCTTTGCACCGTAGACTGTAGCTGCTACAACCATCAAGCTCCCACGTTCCCCAGTCTCTGTAAAAGGAGTACTTTCTTGGCATATACAGAGTTGATGGTATCGTGGTAAAAATGTGAAGTCTATACCCCCATTGCACTTAGTAAAGTATGTAATGCCTATGCAAAACTGTTATTGAAGAGATGCTAAGTAAGTGACGTTCCTGTACTATGCCTAAATGCTTCTTGCACATACTATTTTGCATCAAATGTTTTGACAAAATGCCAATCGCTTTTTATTTTTCTCTGCCATACTGACTTTTCAGAGCCGGAACACAAGACGGTTTAATTCTTGCCTTGGTTTTGTTATAGGCCTCAGTGGTGACAGCAGATCTACACAAGGGTTCCTTTTTAGATGTCAGATAAGAATCTGAAGTTTGATTAATATTTACCAGAATTTTCATTTTGTTAACTTGAGGAGCTTGGCATAGGATTCACTGTAAAAAAAAAAAGGCACACCAGCAATGCTGTAGTGGAACGTGTGGTGGAATGGAGTCACTCTTTAAGCATGGAAAATGGTTTAATCTTCAAGTCCATGCTGGAGTCCGGACATCAAGTGTCCCGTGTTATTGTGCATTGGTGGACTAACAAAAATACAGCATTCATTTCTCCGTCTGGATCTGAAATTGGAGACTGCATATTGTTGTCAGTGCCAGAAGGAACAGAGAGTAGATCTTGGTTTAAATCATATATGTTTAAAGGCTCTTTTCCCCCAGATGTATGTATTAATTGGGGAACAAACTGGAGAGGGGGGAGAAATCCTTTGAAATAAACCAGATTCCTAATGGAATAAGAAACCTCCCTCCAGTGCATTTTCTCCCTCTGTGTCAGCTTTTATAGCTCTGTTTCTGGCACGCATCTTTTGAGATTTCTTTAAAGATTGTTAAAAAATTTTCTCTTACATCAACAAACAATTTTCAGAGCCCAAGCAAAGCTTTAATAAAAAGCATCTTGCACAGAAGATTGGTAATCAGGGAGGGAAAGGGGCAGAAGAGGTCGTAGGGAGAGAAGCACAGGGCTGCTTTGTGATTTTTTCAAGATGGCCAAAATGTAAATCTGCATTTCAGGCTTGTAACCAATTGGGGTTTTTTTAAGGAAAAGAAATGCTTGCATTGGACATGTGTGTGTAAAGATGTGTATTGAGAACTGCAGTCAGTAACTTCATTTGCACTTGCAGGGGTGTGTTTATTAGTGTCACGCTGTCATCAGATTGCCCTGTGTCAGACGGACTCAGCCGGTTCACCTCACACCCAGTAAACGGTGAAGAACAAAAGCTGAAGGAAACCGTTAGAGGTTCAGATAATGCTAGAGGAAGCCCCTCCCAACAATACTTGGAAAACCTGGAAAATGTACAGTAGACCAAGTGTTTTGCTGAAGCTTTAAATGCTAGCAAAAAGCTTTCCAAGTTTTTACTGGCAAAAGACTCCTGGACTCACCTGCTGGTTTTTTTCCTTCCCCCTTAGGGGTGTGCAGTGAACAGTAAGCAGGAATACCTCTGTGCAGAGTTCAGCTGAGCTACCAGCAAAATTCCTGTCTGAGCGCGTATTGCGTTACGGGCTCGGCAGAGCGGTAACGCTCTCCCGGCTCCCCTGTTTAAACATAATGACAGCACTACAGCCTTTTTCCAAAATACATTGGGATGGGGAGACAGGGTGCGTGTGTCTGTACGTGTCTGTCTGGAAGTCCGTGCCCCCAGAGTGGAGGGAGAAAGTTTCACATGGTGTGCATTCAGGATCGAAGGTAAAGGAAGTGCAGGATGCACATCTGGAACTGCTATACTAATGAGAGAGAATTAAGAGAGCACGAAGCGAGCAGGGAGCTTGCCCATAAACCAGAAGGTCAAACCTTTTTCAACTCTAGGTCTGAGTTAAAAACCACATTTTGGTAATTCGTTAAGCACCCAGAATGTCTAAGGTATTGGTTATTCACAGCGTGGCGTGGCGTGTTTGCCGCTTCTGATCCAGAAGGAGTGGAGATTAGCCACATTAGCTTCGTTCTTTGATCACCAGGGGAGGGGGGAGAATCATGGTGTATTAAGTGCCTTTTTATACCTAAGTAGGAATGGAGAGTAGTGAAGAATGTAACCCTGCAGAGATTTTTAGGTGTTTTCAACAATAAAGGACTAAAAACGTGAGTTTTCAAAATATCTGGAAGACTTACAGGAGGTAATCATTGCCACAGTACTAAAAATTCTCTATAGCAGATGTTAAGAAATTAATTTTTTGGCTTCTGATTTTAGTTCCATCTATTTTGCTATGGAGAAACAAGGGTTTGTTCTATGGGTTTTATTTATATAGTTTTGTTATCCCTTTTTGTGCTGGTTTGTATAAAAACCAAACGGACAACAACCAAAAAAACCCCTCAAAAACCAAAAAGCCCAAAGCAGATGAAAAAGTAAAAGGAAAGGAGTGGAATGCACAATACCATATATATGTAGTAATGGAAGATACATTCAGCACTTGAAAAAGAAGTGTATTCTTTTATATTGGAAGCATCCTTGTCTTAAAATCTCAAGAAAAGAGCAAAAAATGAAGGCTCGAAGTCTGCCACATCTTCTGCACAGCTTTAACTTCAGGCGCTGTCATTGGTTTTTGGTGGTAATGTGAGGGAGGTCAGACACATGGTAAGTCCTTGCAGAAATTAATCTAGGGGACTGTTGCCTAAGCGGTCTGTGGAGTCAGTGCTTGTCTGCGGGAGCCTGGCTGCTGCTGGTGTTTTGGGTTTTTTTCTCTCCAGCTGTAAATCTCATTTTTAAAATACCAGAGTATACCAGACGCTTTCCAAATAACACTCCTCGATGCAATTATTTGCAGTAGCTGCCAGAGGCGTATTAGGAGGTCTCAAAGGGGAGCAGAATGTCTGCAAAACCCACTCGGCGTTAAGATACGGTTCTTGCTCAAAAATACACAAATCCCTGGTTTAGGTCCACGTAGCCATAGCATAGACTCAGAAGTCCTGAAGAAAATGGTTCTTTCCTGTCACTTGCTGAAATACTGAGTATCTAAGTAAAACAAGAGACGGAAGAGAGAAGGAGCTGGGTAGCATAGGTTTTCTTCACTGTTTGAGGTGATGATTTTGCTCTCTCCGCAACTGAGCTAGGTGATCTTGGGCAAGCTGCTGGGCTTCGTGTCCTGGGTTCTTCAGCTAAATGGTTGTGTCTCTCTCCCTTGCACACACGCTGTGAAAACACAGGCCTGTAGTTGCTGCTGTTGTAGCTAGCGAGATCAGAGCATGCCTGTGCTGGGCTAAGTAAAAGCTTGATGGGGAAATTAATCTGTAATACACTGATCAAATTAATCTAAAATGTATTTAATTTTAGGCAGGTTTATTGAATGCATTTCTGGCTCTGCCCTGCTTGGCCCCGATCTCTGCTGTCACAGTCGCAGAGCTGCAGTTGCTGTTACTTAAGGAGATGGCTTTGTGTTCTTCCCTGAAATTCCTGAACACTGAAGGGATAGCAGAAGATGTGACATTGAGGAAAGCTTGGTCCTCTAAAACTGCCGCCCTTACTCCATTGCTGATACTCATTATTCTACTGGGCACTAAGTTGTGGTCCCTGTATGCATCACTGGATGGTGCTTTCCTTCGTAAAGAATTTCTGTTGGGATCAGTACCGAGAGGTTGGAGGTGAAGGAGCGTGATCAGCAGCAGCATTCATCTTCCATACGCTGGTTGCAGCATGTGTAGCGTGTCGCTGAAATATCTCAGGGTCTCTAAATGTACTGCCATTTGCCATCAAAATTATATCCTTGCTGTCTTCCAGTCTTTCATTTGGTTTGCTTGGAGAGCTGAGAGCAGGAGTGGAAATGACTTGTAGGCAGCAATCTCAGCACAGACAGAAAACAGTTGAAATAATCTTACGGCAAAGGCAACCTTTCTTGGTAGCAGAGGCCCTTTATTTTTGTGCCTGTTTTTTGCCAGTAAAGTAAAATAAAGAAGTTAAATAAGTAGCAAATCGTTCTGTGTGGGTTTTTTGAGGGCTTGACTGCTTCCAGTGTGACAATTAGCCCCAGCAAAAAGAACGTGCAAATGTTGTGAAACAGCTCTGTAACAAGTTTCCAAGCATTCTGTTTCTTCACCACTTACTTTTCTGGGCTTGTTTTTTTTTTTCAAATCCAACTGAAGTTCATTTTAGTCTATTGGAAAGGAGTGCTTTCTGCGTGCACATGAAGAGGCACAGCCAACCCTCCTTCAAGAACTAGTCACTGGGGTCTTGGTTGAACTGCTGAGCCCCAGTTTGCATGAATGAAAAATGAACTTTAATGACAAAATGAAAATATATGTATGGGGTTGTGCTTTTCCCATCTGCTCAGGTCTGGTGTAGGACGTAGCATTTGCCTTGTGAGCTCTTCTTTGGCCTCCCACCGAAGGAGATGAGAGGCGAAGGACCACAGTATTCCTCCCCTAACAGCTCACAGCCGGCCAGGTAGTGCCAAGGTTGTGGGCAGCAGCTCTCTGCCAAAAAGCCTGCGCCTCACATGTACTCACTTCTTGCAGTGTTTAGTTGAGAGTATAAAGAATGAAAATCCCTGGACTTCCGCTGCCATCTCCGCTTCATTACAGAGCTCAGACCGGCAGCCCTTCCTTTGCTCTCGTGGCCTTGACAGCACGGCTAGGGGTGCAACTCTGTCATGTACCCAACACTAAGGTGAACTGTGTTTTCAGACTATAAGATAGATTTTGAAATATATGTTTCCTCACCCTCCCTGGTAGAAATGACTGCTTAACCCCCAGCAAACCCTGAAGCCCATCACACTCCATTACCAAATGGGCTAACAGGGTGCTGAGCTGCGCAGAGAGCTCTGCATTCGCCCACCGCCTACTGAAATCTTGTGTTTTGTCTTCCAGACTCCGACCTGAGCATGCGGACGCTCAGCACACCCAGTCCAGCATTAATATTTCCACCGAATTCCACCGGTTTCCAGAATGGCAGAGGGTCGTCAACATCTTCATCCTCAGTCACTGGGGAAACTGTTGCCATGGTCCACTCGCCGCCTCCAACCCGTCTCACCCATCCCCTCATCCGGCTGGCATCCAAACACCAGAAGGAACAGGCCAACATAGACCGGCTGCCTGACCACTCCATGATCCAGATATTCTCCTTCCTGCCTACCAACCAGCTGTGCCGCTGTGCCCGTGTGTGCCGCCGCTGGTATAACCTTGCCTGGGACCCCCGACTTTGGAGGACTATTCGCCTGACCGGCGAGACAATCAACGTAGACAGAGCTCTTAAAGTGCTGACCCGGAGGCTTTGTCAGGATACACCCAACGTATGTCTCATGTTGGAGACGGTAATAGTTAGTGGCTGCAGGCGGCTCACGGACAGAGGACTCTACACCATTGCCCAGTGCTGTCCAGAACTGAGGAGGCTGGAAGTGTCTGGCTGTTACAACATCTCCAACGAAGCAGTCTTTGATGTCGTGTCACTGTGCCCAAACCTGGAGCACCTGGATGTGTCAGGTAACAGGATATATTTCAATACGGATGCCTCTTATTCTAAAAGCCTCATGCTTGTCAAACCCCTGGCCCCGCAGCTGCACCCTTTCCCTTTGTGTGTTGTCTTTTGAAGTAGGAACGGCAGTCTCCTAACACCATACTGGTGAGATGGGCACTGCCAGAATCTCAGTGCCCAAATGAGGCCCAATTCTCAGTGCCCAAATGAGGCCAAGCACCTCTTGAGTGGCCGGGCCTCCTCCAGTGGAGATGAGCTAACAGAGTTATTTCAGCAAAATTTGTTTTATTTTTTTTTAATATAGATATATAATTTATATGTAGATTATATATAATGTATATATCTGAATTCTGGTAAGTGGCTTTAGGAGGAGCACAGAATCAGTGCTTTTGTCTGGGTATGAATATCAATTGTCATCCCTGTGTGTACTCCAAGGTCCCCTAGTTTCCACTGCTATTTTTAACAAGACATAGCTAGCTTGGGTTTTTGGTTTTTTTTTTTAATAGTGTATATATTTTCTTAGTGGCTTTCTACTTTTCCTTTCACCCAGTTGCAATGTATCACTGCAGCTGTTGACACCAGCAGAAATGTTTTAGACAATTTTCCTCTGAGGAAACAAGACGGTTTTTTCCCCAAGGTCAGCCATACAGAATTTCCTCTTTGGGAAACTTCCTCTGCAAATAGGTTGTCACTTAATGGAAAGGATGTAGCCAAGCAGGGCACTGAAGTAAATTCATTGTTCAATACTTATTTTTTGATCTTATTTGTTTTTAGTCTGATGTTGTTATTCATCAGCCGGACCATTGCAGAGGCAGGACGAAGTGAGAGTAGGAAGCAATGCTACTGAGTCACTGGTATCCAGATAAACTGATTTTTCCAAGGCTGCCTGTCTGGTGTACATGGATTTGCTTTCTTTTTTTCTGCCTTTTATTTTGTTTAACTGATTTATCCAACTCTTTCACCTAATATTCCTAGGATGGCAGAATGTCGTGGAAGGCCTCAAAGCAAATAGCAACAAACCAGAATTATGCACTTTTCGTGATTGTTTTCTGAAACTGCCAGGTGATAATGCGGGAGTCCTGTGCCCTGGAGTCTGTTGGCAATGATCCTGCGTTACTGAATTACTTACTGTCGGTCCAGATGACATCAGTTCTGGTTTGCCAACCACACGTTCAGGTTGAAGCACACCCCGCACCAGGAGAAAATGCATGTACCTGTGTGATTCAGACCTAGAGCTACATATCACTTTGGAGGCTGGCTGCATCCCTGGCATATTTATGCTTTTCTTACTACACCCTCTGTAGTGTTATGGAGAGGTGAGCAGCTCACATATCCTGGGCCTGGGGAGACAGGACAGGCAGAATCACTGAGCTGAGGGTGGACTGCCTCAAGACACCAGTCTGTGAGCTGACACCCTGAGAAAATGCTTTGGTCCACAGCTCCTACTGATAGACATGCTAAAGGACAAAGGTGAATTTTCCAAAAGCAGGGAAAATTAAAAGATGATATCGGGTCTTGAAATGCCTTCTTCTGCGGCCTGTCTTTAGTTGTGGTTTCCCCAAGCCAGTTACTTTCAAACCTAGAAGGTGGTCTCTGTCTCCCATCAGTTCAGTCTGAAGTGTGTAGAGGGTGAGTTAAATTCCTGTCTTCCTTGAGTTTTGTCTCGTCAATGGGACAAGAAAGTAATTTTAATCTCACATTTTTTCTAAGTTGTACTTTATTTTTGGAACAGGTGAGGGAAAAATCCTGGTTTTGAACATGCTCAGAAGTCAGGGTGTTTGGGTTCAGACATGGCTTTTGCTGCATGTGCCTGCATATGAATTAAGGATAATTGATCTCTGGGGTCTTGTATTGAGTCCGCTGTTTTCATTCTGATGTGAGTAATTTTGGGGGATGTTTTGGAAGCAGATTCCATTTACTCCTCCTTCTGTCTGTAGTTAGGAAGACAAGACCTGCACCTTCCCGCTCAAGCAATTCTCAGAACTGAAGTCGTTCCCTGGTTTGGTTTCATACTGACCAAGAGGAGTTGGGAACGTGTGCTGGGGGATAACGCTATACTTGTAGCTAGTTAATTAAAACCCAGTTCACAGTTGTACATGTAGTTGAATCCCTCTCCCCCTTGGATGGTTACTTGGCAGCAATAACCTACCGAAATCTTTAATGTCAAAACCAGATGTTCGTATTAACTTTAAGAGTTTTCCACAATGTAAGTTCTGTCACTCTCAGCATCCACTTTGTGGGCAGGTCTGAGATAGCTCTAGAGGTTGGTTGGGTTTGACTGCAAGTTATTATTTAACATGCTAGCCAACATTTTTTTCAATCTGTTTGGAGGTTTCTCCTTCCTTTTAAAAATCAGTTATACTTACTTTATGGAAAAACCTGTTACAAGAGCTTTTTTTTTACATTTTTTATTATGTAGGACAGAAAAATTGTTGCAGACCCAGGAACCTGTCATTTTGCCTAAAAATCAGGCGGTTCTGTGTCAACATGGACTCTTTTTCTGGTGAAACCATTTTGAATATCCTTCCCATGAAACATTTTACAGTGTAGCCAAAGTAACTAGACAAGGCAATGCTGAGCTTGTCAAAACAGCGATCGCACACTGATGTGTGTGACCCCAACCCAGCTGTGAGACTTCTGGCCCATTCATTTTCTAATTGCGATCATTAAAACTTTACCCCTTCGTGGATCCTCAGCAGACAGAACATTCTCTTCGGCTTCGTGGACCCTTCATTCTCACTTAGCCAGATTTTAAAATTGAATTCTGGTCAGCATGTAAGATACTCAGACTACCTTCTTAATCCAGCAACCTCCTCAGTCAAGCACAATACTGACAGCTACATCAGGTCCAGCAGAACTCTGCCTAGATGCCAGCTTCTTTGGAAACCCAGCTCAAGGATGGGGACTCCTGTGGTGCATTTTGTATCACCTACTCCAAGGAACGTATTGGAGGTGAAATTTCTACACCATTAGTATTGTACTGCTTCCCTTTAGAAAAAGCACATTGCATTACTGAGCGTGTACATAGTACTTATGTGAAGGCAAACATATTTCCAAAGATTGCGCCGTAACGTAAGTGGAACTGAAGAGGAAATAGCAGCATTCAATTTTAAGATGATGTCGTTCGTTGAACAAAGTGCTTTGCTTCAAGGTCCCAGAGCTTTCATGTGACGTGTGGACAATTCGCTCATTTCATTGTGTGAGGCCTAAGGTAAAATTTGCATCTGTTCAAATAAAGTTGAAGCCTAAATTAAAAATCCAGCTGCAAATTCAAATGATGAATGTAGAAATCTAATTGCAGGTGGCAGACTGTTTCAGTTCCATATCCCCTGCTTCTTACAGCATTTATGTGAGCCCCCTGGATTATTTCAAGAGATATTTTTTCCTTTTTGTTTTCAGGAACTGAGGCATATTCATCCCTTCCACTAAGTCTCTGAATGAGAACCTTTTGTAGCAAGTGGCATGGGTTTGGGTCATTCAAGTTTTTGAGGTGGTCTCTATACATTGTCATGCTCTTTACTTCCAGACTACAAGTTTTGTGTGGAATTTCTGATACATGGAGCTGTAAGGTCATCATTCTAACTTTTTTGGCTTTTCATGGGTCACTTTATCCCCGTTGGCCAGTTCTTCAGCAATATGGGAAAGCTCTTTTTATCCCTACCTGAGGGGCACCTCTTTAGGCATAATCTGCAGAATTTGTCTGAGCAGACATTTACAGCTAAAACTGTTGGGCCTTGGTCGCCAACAGGTAGACCCTCCACCTTCCTTGCAGCTGCTTCTAGCTATGCTGCTCCAGCTGAGTTTGGCACAGATAAGAACTTCCCTTTAGGAGCCCTAGACTGACAGTTTGCAGTGCAGCGGAAACAGTGCATTCCAGAAAAAAAAGCTTTCATTCACCACCATGCACAGTGTGGAGGTTAAAAATGGAGGAAGTTTTGAGCGTGTTTTTCCCTTTAATCTAGATCTTTATCTTTCTTTTCAAGGCCTGTTGTTTCTCCTCTGGTCTAGTTACCTCCACCCATGGCCAGACTTTCTCACTTGGAACAGTCCTTTTCTTTGTCTGTCCATGTCCTCCCATGCCCTTACCAGTCTGTTTGCTCTTGCTGTCTCTCCCCATTCTCCTTAGGTTCCCCGAATCTCCACCCTTCTGCAAACACATAGTCTTGCCACAGTTTTGCATCCTTTCCACATAGCAGGCTTGGGGCTGGATTCACATCTGTTCTCCAAATGCTTTTTGGAGGGCGGGTGGGGTTTGTCTTTTTTTATAATGGGGTTGGATGGTGAAAGAGCCTCCGATGTTTACAATCTCAGCCAGTCAGCAATGAGATGTTCTCTGATCAAAAAGCTGCGTTGGTTGTCATGTAGTACCGTTTTCTCAAATTGTCACAGAGTTTATATTGCAGTAACAGATCATGGACTGTCCCTGGATAAACCTAGGGCCATCATTTTACATGTGGGATATGGACCTGTTACTTTGCTGGTGCTCAAAATCACAAGGCAACCTCAGCAGTGCCAGTGGAGTTTATTGTTTCCTCCAGTGTAGGGACACATCCCAGAAAATCCAGACTAGTCAGTCAGGATGATTCTGCTCTTTCAACGTGAAGATGTCTTCTTCACGTCCAGCACGCAATTTCATGACCACCTTTATGGTCTTGCTGCGTGATCTGGTTTTAGTGCTCGCTTGAATTTGCTCTTTTTTTCCACTTAGGCTGCTCCAAAGTAACGTGCATCAGTTTGACTCGCGAAGCTTCCATCAAGCTGTCTCCCTTGCACGGGAAGCAAATCTCCATTCGCTACTTGGACATGACAGACTGCTTCGTCCTGGAAGATGAAGGACTGCACACCATTGCCGCTCACTGCACTCAACTGACCCACCTGTACCTGCGCCGCTGCGTCCGCATCACCGACGAGGGTCTCCGCTACCTGATGATTTACTGCACGTCCGTTAAGGAACTGAGCGTCAGCGACTGTCGCTTCGTCAGTGACTTCGGCATGCGGGAGATTGCCAAACTGGAGTCACGCCTCCGGTACCTTAGCATTGCTCACTGCGGCCGAATCACAGACGTGGGCATCCGTTACATAGCCAAATACTGCAGCAAGCTGCGCTACCTCAACGCGCGGGGCTGCGAGGGCATCACGGACCATGGTGTGGAGTACCTCGCCAAAAATTGCACAAAACTCAAATCGCTAGATATTGGCAAATGCCCTCTGGTCTCAGACACCGGCCTGGAGTTTCTAGCCCTCAACTGCTTCAACCTGAAGCGCCTGAGCCTGAAATCATGCGAGAGCATCACCGGACAGGGACTGCAGATTGTGGCTGCCAACTGTTTTGACCTGCAGATGTTGAATGTGCAGGACTGCGATGTCTCTGTGGATGCTCTGCGATTTGTTAAACGACACTGCAAGCGCTGTATTATAGAGCACACCAACCCTGCCTTCTTCTGAAAGGACACCCCACACCTGACGCTACAAGGCAGTATTAAAAACACTGATGTATAAACACACGCTCCCATATTCAGTAATGCCGTCTTTTCTATAGCTCACGGGAGTCTGCTTTTCGTGTATGTCGGGGGTGAGGGGGGTTTCTAGAGGACTATTTTGTTTGCTTTTTGTATGATCACTTTTTTAAGGTGCGGTGGGTCTCCGTGGAGAGGCTGCCTTAATGCAAAAGCAATGAATGCTCAGCATCACCACTGGGGTGCCATTTCCATAACAGCCCTGATCTTTTCCCAGGCTACAGTAGCTACCTCCAAAGGAAATAGCACATAATCCCTCCTTTGGAAATGCTACTAAGCTGTGTCAAATAAATCCGAATTCCAGCTGTGCTCATGAAGCTGACTATGCAATATGTGTCTGTGTTCCCCGACTTCTTCCAATAGAGCTGATAAAGCATCCCCTCATCTTCAAGTAGATTCTCTTTGGTAGCCATCCATTGCAATTCCTCAGGAAATACTGGGTAACGTTCTTCAGCATACTTGATTGAGGCAGAATGAGACCTGCTGGCCACGGCCGAGCACTCTGCTGAGTGAATCTGGAGGTTGTACCCATGTACGGATTCTCATGGAAAGTCCACCTCTGGGTCACTCGTGTGTCACCACCACTTGCCTTCATTTCTAAATCCGCCCTCTCCTGCATGTGTAGTACCACCCTCTGGTAGCAGACAGAGACTTCTGGGTCTGATAAGCAGTGACATACTCACCTGAGTAAAGGAAAACAGATGAGATATTGGTGGCTTGGCAAAGGGGAAAGCCAGCGAATCAACCTGAGAAGATGTTGTCATTCTGAGACAAGCCGAGACAGGGCTGTAGCACACCGGGGACGCTTTGAGGCGTTGTGGGGCAGCTTGCAGGGGCAGTCCCAACTGCTGTGCTGCACAGCTGTCCCCAGAAAGTCTGTCTTTGTTCCTTCACTCTATCTCTTCAGCAGCCATGGCACCACTGAGGTTGGTGGTAGATTCAGTACGTGCCTTACTACACGTAGACACATGACCCCTTTCTGTGGCCTTCCGGTTCAAAGGATAGATGGCTGATCTAGACTTCAAAGACATTAGCCCCATGGTAGATAACACCCCTGGGGACAGAGGAGCCCAGAGTGTTATTCACATTAGATTTAGAGAAACCTTGTCCCTGTGTGTGTTCCCTGAGGCTGGAGAAACAGCTGCTGTTCAACAAGGAATTAAAACGCCAGTGTTGCCCTGTGACGGTGGGAGCCCCTTGCACTCTCGCAGTCACTTAGGCTCACGCATGAGCAAGGGTGTTTTGGAGGTTCCCCCGTCTCATTGCCTCCTTCCCGGTGTGGTTGTTTCATGGTTACTTTTTCACAATTTTCTTGCGGCAGTTTCTCCGCATTTTCACGTGTAATGCTCAGATCTGAAAGCCAGACACGTTAGGGATGATGATATTTTCAGGCAGGCCCCCTGCGCCTGACTGACAGGTGAATTCATACGTTCAGCTCAAACGCTATAAATGTCTCGGTAGAGAACATAAGAAGGGAAGCACCGTGTCTGGTTTTCATAAGCGGTAGTTCCATCACCTCCAGACAACACTAATAAAATCATTGATATGAAGTGAAAATCCATATGCTCGAGAAGAATACATGACTGCTGAGGAAATACTTGTAGCAATGGTCTCTCAAATTACAAAAAAGTAATGGCTTGGACATGTCCCTGCAGAGCGAACTTGTCCTACCGCTGCAAAAATCCCTGTAACTTATATATGTTCCTGCAACGCAGAGTTTCTTAACACACAGGAGTTCGTCAGCTCTAAATTGTAAATCAGGTTGTACTAAAGCAAAGAGGTCTGTGGAAAAAGAATTTGTCATTGCTACTGTTACTGGTCAGTGACTAATACCCTCCTTTGGCCAGTTAATATTACTTTGGTTTCCCTATCTGTATTTTTAAAATTAGAGATTCTTCTCCAGCAAGTAGTACAGTGTATTTTATCTGAGCCAGCTATACTCTCTGTTTGTCCTTTATCTCAAAATGGCCCAGAGGATAGTTAAATGTTAAGCCCATTCCTGAGGATGGCGGGATTTTGAGCCATTTGCACTCATGAAATATAAGGCCTCATTTGTAACATTTAACTGTTTATTAAAAAAAAAAAAAAAAGCTATTTTTCTGGCTATGCTAAATTGAGTGAATAGTGCTACATGGTTTTTAAGGTTTCTAATGTTTAAATTGGCCTGTACTGTACAAATCTCACTATAAAGCCTTAATTTGCTACCAAGAAATAAAGCAATATATTGGTAACGGATGAGTGTGCATTGTCATTTACACTAATTGATTAATTTCTGGTGTAAGATAAAAGATCAGATACTTGCAGAAGTTCTCAAAGGTAGGTAGGTGAATGAGCACATCAGGTAGGTGGATGACTATATTAAAAAAGGGAAAAAAATTGTTATAGATTATGACTTTGCCTATCTGTCTCTTTAAAACTTAATTTTCCTCCTGGGGATCTTCTTGACCCTGAAACATAATCAGTAACTGGAAGTGTAAGTAAAAGAAAAAACAGTATATAAAAAGCACGTGTATAAAATTCTTAGGCGGGCCTCTGCATTGGTTTAAAGGCAAGTTGACATACTTGATGTGAAGAGTAAAATGGAATGAATGAAAGGGTAGAGCACTTACTAGTCCAGTGCTGCCTTTTGAATGCTTTTAAAAGCCCACTCTGGGGGGCACTGGTGGAAAATGAATAAAGGTAACTTTTTTAAGCCTAACATTTTTAAGTGTATAGTCTTACATGACCTGAGTTGGCACTCTGAGACTGCTACTTATTTCAAGAAAATTTGAATGTAACATACTGATACAGCTTGCCTGTTTTGACTTTTAACCTTTTTCCTACATCTGCTTGCAAAATGACACGACCAGAAAAGAAACTGAAATAGCGCGTGTGGAGCTGAGTTTGCTGGAGAGGTTGCGACATGTGACTGATGTGTCTTCGTTCTGGTTCGGGGTTGGCAAAGACTATAAATTTCCTGAGCAAAAACATTGTTGATTCTTGAACCGTAAAATTTGGGCTCAGGCACTGAGGCTTCTTCTGCTCGGCAGTAGCATGTGGTGATCTTGTTGAAGAAAGCAGCGCTGAATCACATCAGTCAGGCTGGCATGTTGTTTATGTCTCTGGAATAACTTGCGTCCTGCAGAGAGAGGTCTCTCAGACTGGGCACATCTAAACAACCGTGCACTGTGATTGCAGACAAAGCTCTGTGTGTAGGTACTCATCCTCCTCATTCTCTTGGCTCTCATAAAGGTGGAGCTGTGTTTCCCCCCTGAGCAGAATGAGATCGATGTGAAGTGCAACACTTTTGCCCTTTTGAGCTATGCTAATCTGGCTTCTTCCAAAATGCAAACCAGCTTCTGATGGATGTCTTGGGCTCGGATCCTTCGTACAGACCTTCCGTGGTGGCTTATGTGGTTTCTGAAAACTTCTAGCCTTTGAACTGGAAAATTAAAATACTAGTAAAAGACCTAATTTTAGTACTAGGCTTGAAGCAGGTCCAAACCCTCATTAAAAAGAAATACAGTGACCATTTGGACAGCAGGCTGGCTGCTCCGCAGCTGCCAGTGTTAGTTTAAAGGGGAAAAGTTCCCCGACGGGGTTGGTGCGTGGCTCCTCTCCCCTCAGCGTTCACCAGGAAAGCAACCTGCCCTCGGTTTTTTTAGATTTTGTCCATTCTGCTATGCATGCTGAAACTTCCCACGCTGGGCTTTGAAAATGTTAGTTGAAATGGTTCATCTGGTTCTGTAAATAAAGCTAGGAGGAAATGTCATTTTGCTCACGTTAAACTCCCGGTGACCTTCCCTTTGAAAACGGTTCATCGCTCTTCATCCCCTCCAAGGCCTTCAGAGTGAAAGTGTGAGCCTTGCCGGGAGGTCAGCTCTGGGACAAGGATGTGCCTTAACAATCTCCCGGTTAAAATGCGCTCAAACTTTGCTACGTTACACGTCTTCGAACATCTCCATGTCCCCGGAGAAAAGAGGCACATTCGGAGCTTGCAGTCTGGCGAGGCTGAGATTTGGCAAAGCTGAGAGGCGTTTATCGCTCTGGCAGTGTGAAGGAGGAAATGCCCTGAATTATATGGGAGCTGCCTGGAAAGTCAGGGCAGGGTTGAAAGACGGGGTTTTCAGAACTGGGACAAGAATGAAGGAAATTGCCAGGGCAAGGGGGACTGGGACTGAGGTGAGAAGAGATTGAATGATTTTCAGCAAAGAAACTGGGGCTGGAGTTGAGAGTGGTGGGTTTGTATGACCTGTTGAGCAGAGAGAGTTGGGCCAGAGAAAGTGTAAATACTGAAGGACGAAGTTTGGGTCAGGAGCAGAAACATGAAGACAATTGACATCCTGTAAATAGAGTATGCTCCCTCGGCAAAGGCTCTGAGAAAGAAAGGCTGGGAAACTCTTTTGGTGCGGATGCCTCAAATTTGAAACAACCTGTCAAAAATGAAATAGTAATTTTGCATTTAATGCCTCCGGTATCTGCCCTTTATATTTTGCAAAGCCAGGGAATCTTTACAGGCAGAACTTCTCCCTTTACCAGCAAAAATATATGGAGGCGTGAGATGTTGTCAACCTCAGTGTGTTGTTCCTGCCTATTCCTTTAGCGCTGCTTTCAGCAACACCAGCTCTTCCGCTTTCCTAAGGTGCAGGCGTTGGTGTGGAGCCAATTCTGTGCCCTTTTGATGACTGTTAAAGGGCATCATAATAATGGGCTCGAGTTACTGCCAGGCAGTACACATCAGGATTCACACTTTATGCAACAAAAATACATTTAACTGAACAACGCTGCTGCTATTAAACAGATTGAATCAGTTTTCTCCATAAAATAGCTGAGGGATGTTTATTTTCATGCACCCCGGCTGTACAGCTGTATGCTTCAGAGCCGGTTTTTCCTCTATTTTTGTCTTCTGTGAAAACTGGAGAGAAACATCAGGTCATTTTTCCCTTGTCC